AAAAAGAGCCCCACTGAGATTTTCTTTGCATCCTGCCTGCTTCGAAAAGAAAGGAGTGCAATGAAAGTGAATCCCACCTAAGGATTTATGACAGACAGATGCTCTTCTGTCATTTATCTATTATGCAGCTGACAAAACATGCTCCTCCCATAACCAGAAACTAAACCCACTTATATAAAATAAAAGGGCACATAAACTGAGCAGAAGATGTAGGAAATAGACAGAGACAAGTAGAAGTGCCCAGAAGCATTTTTACAGACTCCAAGTTTAGACAATCCTGTCATTAAGGTTTGGTTTACTGGGACAAGTGTGGTGGTTTGAAGTGAGGAGGCTTCATATGAGACGAGGCTGCAGGAGACTGAATCCTTGTTGGGAAATGACAGTGGCCTCAGACTGGTTGCTGGCACTAAAAATACACAGCTGGGGATGGCTAAGGATTGGCTCTGGGAACATATATATAAAGTTAATTATTGTATATGCTCAAAGAGAAATATAGTTGGCTGTAGCTAGCTACTAATTTTCCTTCTGTCTCTTGACTATTAGATTTTCAGTAACAAGCCCTCTGCTTGTAAAGAAGGATTATGGGATTGGATTTGATTGGTTTAGCTTATAGACATTTGATTCTCCTTCTTTAAACTTATCAATGAGTTTTAAACCATTTTCTGTTTTGTCTACAATACAGTTATTATAAAATCATGTTATAATGTGTACATTAGGTATAATGTGCATATTGACCAACAGGGCTAGCTATGGAAGAGCACTGCATTCACCAGACAAAAAATAGACTCATAGTTATGAAATACTGACCTTTTAAATTACGAAAAAATATTTTATTATTATGAGGTAAGATGTTATAATTACGAGAGGAAAGGAGTAATCTTTGAGGATCTAAGATATTAAGTAGGTACTAGATGTATAAAAATGAACTATTGTTTTGAGTGTATGTTCCACCCGGATGTGTATGTGTGTGATGCCGAATGCATGCATGCCCATACCGCGCTGTATATGGTTTACACACCAGAGTTTAAGAAATTTTACGACCCGCATGGTTTAAACAGGACCAAGTGTGTGCTCTTTGTGTATGTACAGGACATAATATAACACCAGACCGTTCTTTGGGACACTACCTAGCCAGCCTGGGTGCATTTCAGATGCATTGGCCATGATGAAACATCCTGTACTGGTTTATTTACTCCTGCAGGAAAAGAGCGACTTCCAGGAGGTCAGAGTGGGCTTTTCACCTGAACAACCCAAAGAACTTAAGATATCTAAAGCCATCCACATTAAGTAAAATAAATATTTCCCAGTGTCTTAAACCTAAGAGAAAATGAAAGCAAATCAAATCAGTGCAGTCATTGTCCACATTTTGTGTCATAACTCCAAACTTTTCTCAAAATTATGAGATCAGAATCTTGTAATTATATTTTATCTCATAATCATTAGTCTTTTTTTTACTTCTTTGGTGAATGCAGTACTTTTCTGTACTAGCCAATTTGGTGCCCCAGACAAAATTTCGGGTGGCACCCTTGCTAAATTACATACATTCACATACCAAGTTAAATTGTTTTTTCTTTGATATTATTTTTGTCTTAAAAACCAAGTTGTCCAATAAAAGTAGTTAACAATATAATTTATTTGAAACAGAAAACCAGACCTCATACCAGCAACATTTGGTAATGAGCAGCTGTGGAGTGAAGTAGTTCTAGGGGGGTACAGGGGTATACTCCCCTGAAAATTTTCTGAAGGATCTTTTCAAAACTTTGCATTTTCAAGGAATTTGAAGAGCCTTTTTTCAAATTCTTGGGATAAATAAAACAACATAAAGTCAGTATTTTATGAAGGTAGAACATTGAAAACAGACTTCAACCTGAACTTTATCTGAAACTTCCATTATCTTTATTTTGTTTTCTATTTATACAATGAGCACCAGTAGTTAGTCTTGACTGCATCATATGATACTTTTATCATGAAATATCCTCTGCATCATGTGATGTCTAACATAGTAACAAAGCAGCTGAGAAACCCACAGAACAAGTTACCTTCATAAATTTGAACATTCTACAGACTAATTCAACTATACACTGATAAAATGTTTGAAAATATTTCATTCGTCCTCCATTTGTGGTGCCCCCCAGATGGACAGTGCCCTTAGCACTTGCCTACACTGTGCCACAGGCCAGCCCTGTTGGCCCACTGTAGTCTGCATTGTAATTTTCTGTTATTAAAAAATCTTAAAACTTACTGAGAAACTTACTTAGGAATAGTGAACGATATGTTTTGTGAGTAAGGATATGAAGTGGTGAGGACTGTTGTGTTCAATTTTGGGTTTTTGCTTAAAGGGGCAATATGTAAAATCAACTTTTTTGAGTTTTATATCATGTTATAATGTTATCCTCTCATCAAAAACATTGCTAGAGTCTTGCTTTGACTCATTCATGCATGTTTGAGAAATCCTGTTCTGTCCTGAGGCAGCAGGCAGGGGAGCAAAAATGACCGGTTGGGCCTAGAACCGCCTTTTGGGACCAGCTCCTCCTCTGGGCTGTGTCTCCAAACCTAGCTTCCTCATCGCAGAGCACACCTCCCCCACCCCCACCCCCACGGCCCGTCCCACCACTCCAAAAACAACAATTAGCAAACACCCGGTGAAAACCATGTGGGCTGAGCTCCCAATACTACTTCTCAGTGCAGCCAAGGAAACTACACTGAGCTTCCGCACCCCCACCCCACCAGCACCCCGCCTCTCATTTCAGTCCTTTTTGGATTAAACACTGTTGTCACCTGCACAGGTAAGCAGAAAAGCAACTCACGTTGTTTTGTTCACATGTTGTTTGGTCTATGTGTTAAGATTTGTAACTTATTATGATCAGTACGTGTGTTTGTGTGTGGATGATCTTGCCAGCTGAAATGTCGTTTCTGTAATCGCTTCAGGTCTTTAGAAATTGTACTTTCCGGTCAGACAGTAAGGTTCATATGTACCCTGAGATGCAATTTTCCAAAACCGATCTTGTATAATGTTGCTGCTTTTTAAATTATCATTACAACAAAGCACGCTACGACGCTCCAGGTTGTAAACAGCAGAGAAGCGGCTGTGATGACATGCTGAAATGGGTGTGACGAAATCAGAAGGAGGTTTTTAAAGAGACAGAGGCCAGTAGCCTATATGCCATGGTCATTAATGACGTATTTCCGGTAAAAAATTTTACCACACTCCTCCCTTCCACTCCCTGCTTACTGCCTATGTTTTTACCGTAAGCTCCTAGTACTAGTCCGTGAAAAAGTCTCAAAAGTTAAAGCATCTGTGATTTACTGGTATAAAACGTGAGTTCTGTTGTGTTCCGTTGTGTCCACTAAGCAGCAGGTACGATCGAGTAGTTAGTTTTTCTCCATTTTCCTTTAGATGAGGAGGTGACAGCAGAGGATCATAGCATTACAGGCAAAACTTATCTTTAAAAGCTCACACTTGCGTTTGTAATCGGCATTTCTAACCTGAGTCAACATCCGAAATGAGAAGACGGAGGTTACAAAAGGGAAATGTACATTTATCCCCTTTTACTGCCAAGACGAGAGGAAAGACCTCCTCCACACGACAGCTAGCAGGAAGCTAGCAGGAAGCTAACACAGCAGCCGGTACAAAGGTAGGTGTGTGTGCGTGCGCGCGTTTGTGTTATGTGAAATGTTTTTAAGCAACTTTGTCATAAGTTTTATGTAAAAGTAAAAACTTGTTAGAGTGTATATTACAGCGTAGACTAAAGCCGAGTGACGAGCCCCCCCTCCCCCCGAGAGCAGCAGAACCTCCGCCCTGTGATGGACTTGCGACCTGTCCAGGGTGTACCCCGCCCCTCGCACTGTGACTGCTGGACATGGGCACCAGTGACCCAGGCAACCCTGAAAAGGAAGAAGCGTGTACAGAAAATGGATGGATGGATGGATGGATGGATGGATGGATGGATGGATGGATGGATGGATGGATAAATGGGGAATGATAAAGGAAGAGAAACAGTAGGGTTCCATGCTCCATCCTGTGTAAAATAAAAGATTGTGTGGTGTGAAACAGCAGTAACTATACACAATAAAACAGCTGTTTTAAAAAACAGATATGGAGTACACATTTATTCTCTCCACACTTTTTCCAGTTAGTGCAGGGCTCTGCAACCTGCGGCTCTGGGGCCACATGTGGCTCTTTGTTCCCTTTACAAAGGCTCTTTGAAAATGTGACCAAACAGAGTTTTTATTTTTGGCTTTTTTTGTTTGTTTTTTTCAGTGGTGGACAAAGTACTCAACTCTAGTACTTGAGTAAAAGTATTGATACTCATGGTCAAATCTACTCCACTA